AATGCAGTACAGCCCTCTGCAGTCTGCAGCTGCTGCATGCTTGCTGAATATGCAAATATTATGTAAAAAAAATAATTTCTATATTTATATATGCTAAAATCTCAGGTCCACTCTGATAGGCATAGGGCTAGCTGTATAGTCAGTGCGGTGGAATAGTCCATATTGGAGAACATGACCCTCAAAGCACTGTATGGAGCAAGTGATTGATCGGTGTCCTTGGTTGTTTTTAGGTCAGAGCTGGAGTTGCCGCTGCTGTGCTGTGGAAGAGTCTGTTTCTGTTCATGTATTCTTGGCTAAAATACAACTGACAACTTCTTAGGCAGGGAAAGGTGTACAGCAGTCAAAGGGAAAGGATGATGCCTGACTCGTAATGGAAATGAGTAGAAAAAGAATCACCACTGTGTCACCGGGGTGTAGGAACAGGATATTCAGAAAATGTGCTTCATCAGCATTATCTAATAATTTTCAGATTCTCTTCCAGAAAATTAATATCATTTTAATCAGTTGAAACTTAAGACTTCCCTGGCCTTAAAATTTGTGTTGTTTCTATAACAGGTAACACTTTTTATGTATGATTAAATATTTTTAAAAGAGGTCTGCAGGAAAAATAACTACCAGTTCTGTTTAATCTGCACCCTATTGTGTGTATTTTTTCTTTCATGAGGATTCTTTATATTTCTTTAAAAGAGGAATTTAAAATACAGAAAAGAGGTTGTCCAAGAATTCAAGTATGTAAAATTACAGTAGTTGGTTGTTGTTTACTTAGAAATATTTTTTTCTGAAATGTATAATTTTCTAGACCTAGAAATGTATTTCTAGAATGCTGGAGTTGTTTACAAATACATTACTTAACCTACTCTGCATGAACGCGTTAGCTGTAGAAAGAAATCCTATCCACATCCGTGTTGGCATAAAATATGTGCATATGCAACAACATAATGGCTTTAAATGCTTTCCTCATATAACTCAACTGGTTTTTGGTGGAGTCATCAAAGATAAATTTTAACTAATATCTACAGGCAGGGCTTCAGCAAATAAAAATCTCATAAATGTGCAGTGACAGAAAATAGAAATATAACAGCTATAGAGAAATAGTTTTACCGTCTATGTGCTGATGGCCCATATTTTGTGTAACAACTTTTTTATAGCAAGTCCTTTGGAAATGCTCACAAAATCATGAAGTCAAGTCAAGCATATCTGTCTGGTACCGTACCTCCCAGCTTCACTTAGTGACCAGTGTAGCACATGATTTCAAAATACTCTGATGAAAAACTAACAGATTCAATTTTGGCTGTAAATTTTCTTTTCCCTGTGGCAGTAGCTATCACATACTCCAAAAATCTCTCTAGCCTCTGCCATACTGACAAGCAGGATACCATGGGGAAGGAGACCATTTGAAGTGTCAGTTCTCTGTGCACTGGTGGACTGGGAAGCCGGGGTTGCTGCTGAATGACAATATGCTGCCCTCCTACAAATGTTTCCCTGGCAATTTTGGGCTGTGCAGTCATGTATGAATGGCATTCAAATTTGCCACCATCCTGAAATGTTATTATCTCAGCATAAAATGTCAATATAATGATGTGGAAACATAGAATCAGGGATGCAGATCTGTGAGTAGTGAGTTTTGTATAATACAAAGAACCCCTTCTTTTTCTTAAGAGTTTTTGCTTGCATTTAGCCCCCATAGTTTACTGACTGTAAGCTCCTTAATTTTTTCTCATAATGCAGAGCTGGAATTTTTGCCATTCATTTTGAGGCCCAAAGTGGAAGTCTTCAGTGTAGCTATTGGAAAGACAGAAATATGTGCTTGTCATAGTGAGTAGGAGTGAGAGAAGGATATAGATTTTTAATTGACATTTTTTTTCTGAAATTCCTTTCTTTTTTCACACAGAGTATCATCTCCCCTTTTCATAGTATATCTACCCCTTATTTATAGGTGTAAATTTGTGAAATATCAGCAATGTTCTAGATATGCTATACTCTAGTAAAATTTTATTTAGATCTTTAGGCTAAAACCATTCTTAAGCTGTGTAAAAGATCTGTGGGCAGATGGATTAGACTATGAATCTCAGAAGAAGGGTGTACTAAAAAGGGAATCATATGCCTCCTGAGCTGCCAGATAACTAATTCTCTCTTAGCAAGACAGGTGTTTTTCTCATATATAAAAATTAAGAATTGGAGACAGTTCAAAAGTAGTGTCACTGATAATGGGAGGACTGAAATTATAGATTTGCAAGAAAAGATTAAAGAAAGCTATTTCTAGCTCAGCTAAGTAACAGAAAGGTTCATCAATAATTGAAAGATGTCAGCCCCAGAGTGAGAGTATTTAGAACTGCAAAGGAAAAATAACTAGGAATGAGACAAGAAAGTTAAAAAAAAAAAAAAATAGTAAAAATATGTTGAATAACAATGAAAACTGGTAGACTGAGAAGTAGTTCCATAAGGAGAGTGATTGCAAGCACGACAATTGCATCTTAGGTTTGCTCTATGGATTTGAATTCCCTACATTTGTAAACCAACAGGGCAAAAATGCTAAAAAGGATGTATTTTATAGCACAGAACAATCATGTGTTGAAGGTAGATGGCTGGGATGATCCCTTCTGGCTCTTCAATCTGTTTTCTGCCCTTTGTGTTTTAACTGAGGATCACTGTAATCTTATCTATGAAAAGTAATATCATTGTGGGAACCTGAACTCTTGATAATATCAGGTCTGCTTTAAGGATCTTATGTATGCCACTTCATAACAGATATTATTGACAGTAAGTGCTTTTACCACATTTATATATTCTCACTGTGAGTTGTTTTACAGCAAGGCAGCCAAATCAAGAGAATTTTTCCTGACCAGCTGAGCAGCTGATAAGTCTCTTTACAAGCACTTAGGTGAATTCAATGCACTAAGACCTTTAAAGTGTGGGTTAGGACAAAAGCAGGTGTCCAAACATAACCCTCTGCTCTTGCCATTGCCTCAAAGGTTATCTCCCCACATGTAAAATTACTCATCTTTTGAACCCCACTTTTCCTTAATTCCTTTGTTTGTTAAGCCCATCTGATCCTTTTCAGGATTCATTTCCCCTCTTCTGATCTTCTGGTTTTGTTTCCTATTTCCCTGCCTTGTTGTCTGCACATCATGATTCTTTTTCAGACTGAGCTGTTATCCCTTAAAATGCTCCTAGGAAGGGCTTTTTTCTCAGTCATACTATCTAGTTCTTAGTCAAGTGGTGCCTGTAGGAAGATCAGAATAACGCAAGCTAGGAAGAGCTCTGTGAGTTGTAGTGCCTGTAAGACAAGCATGCAAGTTGTATAAGTTGCATTGTTTGTTAACAGAGTTCACTTCTATCCCTTATTCCCCAGCTTTTTAGGTAAACCTATACCTCCACCAAGAGGGGAAAAAAATAAAAAAAAATAAAAATTCTTGACCATTTTCGGAGCCTGAAGATTACAAGTGACCCAGTCCTAAGTTTGTGTGTGTGTGTATTTTGAAAAGAATTTTCTTTATCCTGCCAATCATGCGGAGTCCACAGATAATACGGTTCCCTTTCTGCTCCAAAATCTGCACAAATCCTCTCGGTACCATGCTTACGAGTGGAAATAAGAAATATTCCCTTTCCAGGCCTGGAGTGTCTAATTCAGTTTGATTATGCATGAAAAGGAATGTGTCCCAAATGCAGTCATTCTTTATGTACTACATCTTGTGAGCAAGCAGCCGGTGTGGCTTGCTTCAGTAACTTTTATATGTAAACAGTCTTTAAAAACATAATCTACATTGTCAAAGCCTAATCTAAATGATGTACTGACATGGCTTATTTTGATACGCTGACTTGGTTTTGAATTCTCCCTGGATTGCCTGGCCCCAGATGGCTTTTTTGTGTTTTGTTTACTTTTCACTTAGCTGTCACATATTTATTCCCATTAGATGTACAAAGTCAATGGATTCAACCTAGTTTTACAGCTTAGTTGGCTAATATGGCATAGGGAAAGCGCTGAGTGAAGTCAAGCAGAGGGTCAGGAAAAAAGCAGTGTGATTCTTCAGATCTGACATACAGACCAATGAAACAGAAAACTGGTAAAAGATCTCGTAGAGCAGCTAGAGTTTGGGTTTTGTTGGGTTTTGGGGTTTTTTTTCAGAAAAACATGGCTTGACTGGAAAGTAGAAATTCACTGAAATAGGGAAGGATTTGTTTAGACTGAATTTCTGTTTTTAAAAGCTTGCTTCTGAATAAATGCTGAAATTTTCTGTACATCCCATATATTTAAATGAAAATGAAACTGGATTTGTTTCAAATGTGAATGGTTAGTAAAATGTTATTTTAAAAGCTTTTCAAAATAATGAGTTGTTCTGGATTTATCTTAGTCAAACAGTTAAAATGTCTTACATGATCTTGCTGTATGAAAGTCTTTGAGGATATGTGAAAATGCTTCATGCTGAGAAAAATAATCCCAAAAAAACTAGTAGGCATGATCTTGCCCACAATCATGCACAGAGCCTAGAAGACAAATGGGTGTTCATGATGTCTACGGCAACCTGAAGCATGACTGAAATGTGGACCATCTTGAATGAACAGTGGTCTTCCATCTGGATAGTCATGCCTACCTTCCCACACTTCTCCCAATGTGAATATCTACCTTCCCTCTACATAGTTGTTTTCATGGCTCAAAGAAAAACTTAGTGGGGCATTCAGGGTGGAATTCAGCACTGATGGAGGGAGCCTGAGGTTTCCTTTGTTCCCTGAAGACGGACAGTACAGGTTTCCTGCACGGTGCTGTTTCACTGATGGCACATTTTTCTCAGATCACATTTCTTCTTTTCCTGTTGAGGTGCTCAGCCAAAGCACTGTATGGCACCAGTCACAGTGCACTTTGTGTGCAGGCAGCTCTTGGGCACTTGAACTTCATTTTCTTTAAAGAACAGATTGTGCTGAAACTGCCACATTTTTATCTCCACTGACTTCCTTCTGGACTTGACAGTCCATAGTCTGAGCTCTTCTTCTGTTTGCCACAGGTGAAATACGGGAACTACGCCTTTGTATGGGACGCAGCGGTGCTGGAGTATGTGGCCATCAACGATGCAGACTGCTCTTTTTACACGGTCGGGAACACTGTTGCAGACAGAGGATATGGGATTGCACTGCAGCACGGTAGCCCCTACCGAGACGTTTTCTCACAAAGGTAAGGGTTTGGAGAAGGAGGAGCAGCTCCTAAGGGAAGGTCTCTTTCAGCTCTGGACCCTTCTTTTAATCTAATTTTCTGTGAAGGGAAAACATCTTGTGCTTGCAATCCACCTCATTTTTTACATAGGCATTCATTTCCTTGGAGACATAAGATTATTCACTTTTCTAGGAACTGCATTAAAAATACTTTGTGGTGCTCTTATTTTAATTGTTCTTGTTTCTTTTGGAAAACATTAATGAGACAGGCTGAACTTCATTAGCAGGAAAATGAGGAAAGAATTGATTAATTTGTTGTAGAGGGACAGCATAATTCAACCCTTCCTGTTACAGAAGCCTTTTCTTATAAAGAAAAAAGTCAACTTGGACACTAATGGGAAAACTGAAGGGAATGAACAAGAACATTTGATGTTTCAGTGAAAAGACTCCTGTTAGTACCCTTAAGCTTAGATGCTTACCCCAGTACTAATCGGTCTCTTGGGCTACAAAAGTGAGATCTCTAGAGATGCTTCTGATACTGTGTTTCTACTAGAATCGGAAATACTAAATCATTGTATGTACTGTACTTTTGCAGTATTAGTGCTTCACTCTAGTATTGATTCCTAAATCAGGACATGTGTGAAATGTAAAAAACAACATAACATTTAAGAAATGTTACATCTGCAGTCTGGCTTTTAGGAGAAGATATGGGATAATCTCATGATCTTTTTCCATTCTGAACCTATTCTCTCAGCCCGGTTTCTAATGGTTTTTGTTAGATGCATGTCACAAAATTTTACAGTTGCTGTGATGGAATTTCTTTCATGTGGTTGCCATAATGAACATGAACCATTTCATCATACGAATACACTTCATTCAGGCTATTGCCTTTGCCTTCAGTCCATGGAATGAGGTAACAATATGCAGATTCAGAAGAATCACTGTCTACTCATGCACAGTGCATGAACAGAGAAGGCTTGAATTCTTTGAATCAGTTCTGTGTTGGGAGTGATTTGGCTGAATTTTGTTCTGACATAGCAGTAGCATAATACAGAAGTTCACAGGATCAACAAAAAAAATTAATTTCAATTAAACATATATGTGCTTTATCTATTACAATTAGCATTATAGGCAATTATTTATTGCATACTTTAATGTTCCAGCCATGACTAGGCTGACTGCTGAAAATCTCTGGTCCTGTAATGTTCAGGGTCTCCACACAAAACAAAGGAGTAAAATTTCTTCCTGTAATCTTTCTAAGAAATGCTTCCAGCTGTTAGAGATCTCAGGTGCTAGTTAAGGTGTTAAGTCATCCTCTTCAGAGCATTACCCATGTAAGCTTGAGTACAAAAATTTGAAGACAAAGGGGAGTTTCATAGGCTGTGTTTTTATTACTAAATAAAATGAACCTGCCAAGTGGCATGGCATGGCTCATGCCCACACAGATGAGCATGCTTCTTCCCCGCTGCTACTGCTTTTCAAGTCACAGTGGATGTATCCAAGCTGCCCCTTAGGGACTGCTTCTGACATCATTTATATACTTGTTATAGTTCTTGGTACATGGGGGAAATGGTCATGGCTGGTTCTGGTAAGTGGTTATCTTTGTCCCAGTATTCTGTAGCTGGAGAGGATAGGTTACATCTCCTTCTGATACACTGCCTTTAGCACTGAATCACTGGTCTATGCAGGTTTGGCATTTCCAAGTACAATTTTATTTTGTAACAAAATTTCAGCATTTCAGTGTATTATTATATCTTGAAGGTGTAGGAAAGCAGAAAGAAGCATAAAAATTTGCACATATATAGCTCTTTTTACCTGAGGATCTCTTTGAAGCAATGTTTAAATATTAGTACCTCTCAGTAGAAGGCAAATGCCATTTCCATTGCATGATTAGGGAATCCATAGCATAAAGAGACTTAAATGAATTCCCAAGGTCAAATATTTTTTCCTGGTGGAATCAGGGATCATAGGCACTCAGATTTCCTCATTTTCCATTTCCTGCTATAGTTATTAGAGTTCGGGTGGATGAAGAAAGGGATTATTTGTGAGATATTGGGCCAGAGGAGGGTCTGGATGGATACGCAGAACTTAGCACTGATGAGAAATAACTCATTGCATTATCAAGAGTAATGGTTGAACACGGAAATTGGAATTTGCTTGGCATGATGCTACCTACTAGAGAATTTAGAGAGCTTGAGATACGTATTCTGAAAAGATGTGTGCTGCCCCTTAAATTTCTGTATTATTAAAGTATATTATATTGCACTTCTAATTATGTCCATCAATATAAATTTACAGTCTGAAGCTGTGAAACACCATATAAGAAACAAACACATGAAAGAGAAAGCATGCTTACAAGGTAATTTACAAGGTTTTGTTCTAAAAATCCTTCAGTACTGTTCCTTATGATTACTTCTGTGTGATTTTCACAAATCATCTTTACTTTTCTTCCTGATGAAAAGGCTGAACAACCTTCAGCTGCTGCAGCCTGCATGCTAAATAGAGAGGGAAATAGATTTCACTCTATAGGATTAGGAAATGTTCACATGAATATTTCACATTCTTTAATGCAGTAGGTAACTAGTTGGAAATATATTGGCATTTCTTGATCTTTCCCAAAATAAATATATTTATGTGAAAATACAGGGCTTCTCTTTTATGAAATTTCATATAAACCCATAAGCTGCACAGTGTTAAATCCCTAGGGTGCAGCTGTGAAAGGTCTGGCAAGCTTACAGGAGATTTGATCTCAGTGCAGGAAGCATGGGCAAGAGTTTAAGACTTTTCATTACCTTTTCTGAACATTCAGATGATTCCCTGAGAAACAGAAAAAAAAGACAGAGATGTGTAAACAGCCACTCCTTCTCTCCAATGCTAGGAGGGCATGAGTTATGGTCAAGAAAACACTGTGATGAAGTTCAGGATTTCCAAAAACACTCTATGTTTGGGATGTCAAAAACACTCTGTGTTCAGGATTTGGGATTTCTGAAAACACTCTACGTTTGGGATGTCTGCTATGTTGTTCTCCAGGAGATTAACACATGCAAAATATTGTGGCCTTTGGGGACTGCAACTATATTCACCTGCTCTGTGAAATATTCCAGTCACTATGGGAGTTTACCTGTCAGTTAGGCTACTTAAGAAAGGCATTAAATCTGCAATCAGTTTGAAACGCTGAGGTGCCATCAAAACACATCATATCATTTCCTCCCGTAACTGATCGTGATGGAGTGTGTCCCTTTATACCACAGGCAGTTTATGAGGTGCTAAAAAAAACCTGAAACAACCAAGAACACAGTGAGAGCCAAAGCCATGGTGATGGTCCTAGAGGCCATATGTCTGTATTTGGGATGTGGGACCTCAGCTGGTGACCACCTGGCTATCTGGTATCCACTGCACTGAAGACTCACACAACCTGCAGTGTTCTGAGCACAGTGCAGAGCTGGTGCTGATAGCTGCCCTGCTCCCAGCCTCAAACTGTTGCTACCAGTGGTGCTTGTGCATTTGCAGCGGATGCAGCCCTACCAGTATGGAATGAGCCTCCAGTTTCCAAGGAACCAGAAAATGTAAATGCTTGTATTAGGCTACAGCTAAATTAACACAAAAGGTTCAATATATACTTGATTTTAAATTGATGCAATTAAGCAAGTATCATACAGGAATTTGTTACTATTGAGGTACACTTGCTTGCATTGGTTCATATTGTGTTTATAATTTTACAGGTGTAAGGTGATGCCTATACCCTTTAGAGAGTAGAGTGAATGCTCCTATGTATTTGAACCAATGCAATTTAAAATCAGAATTGTTCTTACAAATGCAAGTTTGGGTATAGTGAAATATTAGTGGAGAGTGTGGCAAAATGCACACCACTTAGAAACTCCACGCACATTTGCTGAGCTTTTAAAAACTTAATTCCAGCCACACCACAGAAGATGAAACTCTGTTCAGGATTATACTTTCCAGACACCAGGAAATCTAACATTTTGGGATGAACAGAATGTTTTTGATGAGAAAAGTTATACCATTCAAAGCGCAATATCAATATGCATTCAAAAAAACATTTTGTGCTGGTATGTTTTAGTGAAGGAGAAGGGTAACCAGCTGAAAGCACTGTAAAGAAACTGGTTTTTGAGACCTTTCTTTATCATATGCAGAAAATGTCTTCTAGGCAAAAACAAAGACATGAGCAGCAGTGAGTGGTCTGACTGCAGAATGAAATTGGCTTTTTGCTATATTGGGGTCGCAAAGTGGCTCACTGGGGTCCTGTGACAACTCTGTGTCTAGCACAAATAATATAGAAAATAATCTGGGTAACATTTGAATGATGGACCTGTTGTAGCATCCTGATGACTTCATGTACATGTTGCAGACCTTCAAAAACACATCTAGCCATGCCGTTCAGCGGCCAGTTGATGTGCTCAGGTAGATTTCTGTCCCCTTTTCTTTGCCACTAAGACTCAACCTTCTGAGCGTCAGCAGCTTCCAGGCAATGTGTCAGTTTTCTCTCTATATATATTTTTCTTTCAAGGTAATGGCAGGGGCTTTACTAATGGGAACTGCCAAATTTCCTAGGAGAGTTTGTAGAACGTGTCATTTGGTTCATGAGGAACTGTGTGCTGACTCTATATTTGATGCCTGTTAAGAAGTCTTTTCAGCCCTAAACTTTAAAACTTCCATTGCACCCCTGGGAGGTATAAATATAATTGCAAACTCTTTTCAGAGTATTTCATTGGATGTCTATACTTCCTACAGTCCAGCAGCAATGGATCAGGTGCTGCGCTGGTGGCTGATTTCTGGTGAGGGTCAAGGAGGGGATGTCAGCAAAACATTCGGATCCCGCTCATGCCCCCACTTCCTCTGCTGGCTGACTTTCTTCTTCTGCACTACAGTCCTGGCCACACAGGACGTTCGAGGCAGAGGCACTAATTTTGTACTCACCAGAGGCCAGAAGCCAGCTTTTCACTGAAGTAACTATAAGCTATCAACAACCAGTACTGCTTAAAAATCAGGCTGACGTTGTTT